ACTTTTTAATAAATTGACAACGAGAAAAATATAATTTTTCCCCAAAAATGTTATTTTGCTACAAAATTCTGTGAATGAAGTATTTTCAAAAACGTTGGCTTCTGCTAAATAATGACTGTCTCATGTTAAATGGGTCACTTTATATATTATATTCTACAATAATATCATATTAGGTATATCGTATATCACACACTACTATAAATAGGTATAATGTTTATCTAATAATTTATTTTATGTTATTATGGCCAACGATATGGGTACTGTAATAAAATTATTTATTAATGATATTTTAAATGTTTTTTTTTTTTTTAGGAACACGAAATTTACGACAAAATGTGTGGCAAGGGTACAATAACTACAGTTACGCCAATAACTTTATCAATAGTTGTTTTTTCTATGTTTAATTTTATAAGGTTTATACAATTTTTTTAATTCTAAATCAAAAATTTAAATTCTTCTTGTATTGATAAATATTGTTCATGAAATTATCTTCGATGTTGAACAGTTTGTCTATTGCGTCTAATACAATTTAATATACGTTAAATCTTGCTATTATAATTTTATGATACTATTACATTTTAATGATGGTTTATGATATGTTTTATAATGTTTAATATTTTCTATCAATGAAAATCATAACATAATTTTATTATTAACTCATTACTCCATACATAAATTGGTTAACTGGTAAATGTATGTTTAATACAGATTGTGTATGATATTTTGTATCTTTTTGTAACATATAGCAATACCACTAATACTATGATATCAGTTTAGAATAATAATATCTAAAAGCAATCAAACCTGCCAAGCAATGAAAACAGATATTGTTAGCCGACKACTGACAGCATATTTTTAGTCCAAAACTCCTATCCTATGGCTCATCTGTGTAATGTTAAAATCAATGGTAAAACTAATTCTTAGCTCTGTTCAGGATATAAAATAAAATATATTTCAATGAGAAAACGAGTATTAACTAAGTCAGATTTTAGTCAATATAATATCCATGAATTTCAATGAATAAATTATTAAAATATAAACTATAAAGAAAAAAAATCAATAGCTATATTATAATTGTTTTAATATTTATATAACAGCAAAAATATTATTTACAATATAATACTTCAAACTTAACAAAATAACCTGCAACTCTATGTAAGTTTTTACAATTTTAATTTTGTTCAGAAATACCTTCAATAAATTCATTAAAGAGTATTTTATTTGCTCTTTCTTGTAACTCAATGACTACCTTATCCAAATATTCTCTRCCTTCTAAAAACCCAATTAAGTTATGAAAACTCTTAGCCAGACGATGATCGGTGATTCGATCTTGATTAAAATTATATGTTCTAATTTTTTCTGATCTCGCACTAGAACCAACCTGATTAAAATAAAATATATGTTAATTAATATATTATTGAATAGTAATTAAAATTAAAAATAATAATTATTGGTTTAAAATTTACTTGTTGTTTTCTAGCAGATCTAGTCAATGATTGTTGTTGCTCGAGTTGTTTTTTATAAATTATTGCTCTTAACTTTTGTAATGCTATTTTTCTATTTTTAATTTGAGATCTGTCTGTCTGACATTCGACAACAACACCTGATAATGACATAGGAAAATTGTGAGGGACAATATCATCAAGTATTAACAACTCCAAATATTTGTGGAAATTTTTTTTTACCTGTTGGCTTATGGCACATTCTTATAGCACTATCAGTTTT